GAATGATCACCGGGATGATTTCCACAGGGGGAAGAAGACATGCTTTGTTGTTCCAGTGAAGCTTGTGCAACCTCAGTCAGCAGAGAGAACCTGTCACACCGGTTACAGGACCTTCAGCAACAGATCATGAAAGCTTTAGACCTGCTAAGAGACGGGAAGGCTGGTAAGGCTCAGCTCTCTGCTCTGAGGTCAGAAGCTGAGGAGTACACGTCGGGACACAAAGCTCTAGCCATGAGATGGCACTGTTGCTCGTGCTGTTGGGGTCTTCTGGCATGTGGTCTGGTGGCCCTGGGGACTTTAGGTTGTTTATACCCCTGATCTGGGTGTTAATCTAAGTCACACATGGTCCATAGTAAAGTAATTAAATATAAAGAACCCAGGGTAGCATTGGAGTTAGGCGTTCCCAGGCCTTGTTTTCCCAGAGTGAGCAGGGCCAAAACTGGGGTAGAATAAAAAGAGGTGCAGATGAAGTCAAGGTTGAATCCTAACCAAATCCCAATTAGCTGTGTGAGCTGCAAAGATGAGATCGGATTAATTTTATTTCATGGATCATGGAAAGATGGCAGCTAGCCATAGGATGAATTTTATACCCTGTTTTGCTATAGATCAGGCTGTCAAAATGCTCCTGAAGTGTCAGATGGATGCTGGAAACTTCTTGTCTCCAGAGCATTTGCTGATGGGAGAGATGGAGGATCATCTGGCACAGATCTATGCCACTCTTGGTATGGCATTTATTCTCATTATCCCATGTTTTCTGAACTTTCAATTTAGCATGACTAGCCTTTTCTCTGATTGGCCCTTTTATTTTGTCCCTGGTTTTGACAGCAAGGCTCTCAGAAAGATTACCCGAGCCAAAACTGTGTTCCCAGCAGCCAGTGAACAATAATGTGGTCTCATCTTGTTCTAGATTCTCTGACCTGGTTCTGAGGTCAGCAGCCTCCCAAGAATGCTGTGCGCACAGTTCATCACATTTTGCATAGTGCTGTCAGATTCTTTGGCAGTAGCTCTAGTATTCATTTCTCATTTTTTGTTTTGGTTTGGTTTTCCACCAGGGAGGTGGCAGGAAGCAGCCAAACACCTGAAGAAGAGCATTGAGATTGTGGAAATGCATCATGGGCCATCAAGTGTAGAAATAGGTCATGAACTTTTCAAGCTGGCACAAGTTCTCTTCAATGGGTGAGTTTGCTTTTATTCTCTGTCCCTTCCCTCCACCACTCCAGTGTGTCTGACACAGTACCATGGCAGGTGGTCCTTGGCATCTCTTGCTGGACACTGGGCAGTCTGGCACGGGTACCAAAGTTGGCCCTTACACATGTGCCAGTTCCTTAACCCCACTGGGGTTCCCTTATACCTCATGACTCTCTTTGGACCTGTTTCTCTGCTTTATGCCTGTCTGTTTTTTCCTTCTCCCTGGCTCAGTTTATTCCCTGTCCAGTTGTTTTATTCTGACAGCTCAGCACCCTTTGGTGTTTATATCTCAGTTGTATAATGTTGCTGACATCATCTCAAAGGAGGGAGTGAAATCCTCTTGCTCTATTGGCAAGGAAATCCCCTGAGTGCTTCTGAAAATCTTCACACAATACCTCCCTTTAACTGAATTAATTTTGGTGGGAGATGCAGTGAGGAAGTAGTGAGTGCCTATCTCTCAAATATAATGTTTTAAGTGAGAGTCCATCTCCTTACCTTTCCCTCCCCCTCATCCTCCCTTTGCAGCTGAAGTGCACATGATTTTCCTGGTGCTGAAAGGCAGGGGTGGGTGGGATCTGCACCCATGAACAGGCTTGAGTTTTTGTTAGGGAGGGCTTAAAGGTTGTGTAAGTCAAAAAGCTGAATTAAGTATTTTGCATACTCTGTTCTTATTATCTTCCTCTTTCAGATTTGCAGTTTCTGAAGCTCTGAGCACAATTCAAAGAGCAGAGGAGATTTTGTCAGTGCACTGTGGTCCTCAGAGTACTCAGATCCAGGAACTACAAGAGATGAAGACCTGTCTGTCAGAGCTTCCCAGAAGCATCCTTCAGAGGACTTAATTTCCCTGTCAAAGGAAGCTGAAATGTGATCTTTCACCAAAGCTAAGTGTCATGTGGTAAGGCAGTCATGTAGTGCAAGCTGGAAAATCATGTGGAACAGCAACTTGAATGAAATCTGAGATGCTCTTTAGTGAGACTGTTGTAAATAAAATGACCAATTCTAACGTGAGAGGTCTGTGTGTGGTATGGTGGGAACGGAGGCTGTTGTATAATGTCTACATGTGGGTTGGAAGCAAATGTTTGAGATGCTTGTGTATGTGTGTGTTCTGAGAGCTGTGACTCTCCCATGTGTGGTACCCTGATGGTTATGAACATGTAGTCATCCAGAGCACACTGCCTGCTATTTTTAATACTATGAAGCACTTTTGTTCTTGGCAGTGTCAAATGTAAATGGTTGGAATGGGTGAGGCAGCAGGCTGGGAAGTGCAAACTTACAATCTGTAAGAGGGGACACTGCAGAACTTGGAGGCCTCCAGCACAGACCTATCAGTGATGAGGGATTCAGTATCAATAACTAGTGTCAGGTTGGAAGCCAGGGCAGGGGAGAATGCAGTACACACCAGATGATGCTTCCAGGACACAGAACTGCACTGTGTCATCTCTGAGGAAACTGGGAGTGAAGGCATAGGCTGTGGCCAGACAATCTTTCGAGGGAGAATACTGGGGCTTGCTGAGATTAATAGCAAAAGCTCTTTTATTGCAGCATGAAGGCATAAGATTTGCAAGTTGTGTCTTTGTGCAGCAGAGCAGGGAGCCAGTATCCCTCCCAATACCACCCTTTCCACTTGGGCCCTACCACTGCAGATTACTGTGAAGGGATCTAAACACCCCTGGGGTCCAGGATCTTGCCAATGAAGAGGAGAGTTCCAGTGGTATCATCTCGCAGGACGAGGAGGAAAGGTCTGTCCACATGATACTCTATGGGGAAGGTCAGACGAGCAGCATTGGCCCCAGGATTTGGTGTGGATCTTTCCCCATCTTCACTAAGCTCCAGCATTGCCTTGTGTTGCACATGAGATAATCTAATAGGTTTGGCAGAAATCTTGCTGAAATCAGGTGATGTGAAAAGCGATTGGAGCCCTGGAGGAAAGAAAGAGAATTCCATTAGCTGAAAGCATGGATTGCAGGTGGGGGAGCAGTGCTGCTAATGCTGTGATCTAGGAGGGCACAGAGCTGCTCTGGTAGAGTTTATTGGGGTACAGGGAGGAGCAGCTTACATCTATTTGTACTAAGCTTCACCCTCTCAATTTCAGAAGCATTGTTTGAGCTGGATGAAAAGATGTGATAAAAAGCTAAGGAGTCCTGGACCAAGGTGATTTAGTTGCTGGTGAAATCTCTACACACTGACCTAACTACTAACCCACCAGCTTCAAATTTTTCTGAGAGCAGGAAGCAACTTGCCCACTGCTGTGAGTCCTGGCAGTCTGTGAAGGGTGTGTGATGTACGTACTTGTCTCCTTTAGTGTGCTGCCAAGTGCCTCTTCATAGTTCAGCTTTAGTTTGGGTAAGCTGAGCACAGCGTGGACTGTCTTCAACTCCTTGTCTACATCGTGGACAAACTCTGAAGTGAGGCTTTCCTCAATCAGACTCATATTCTGGATCACCTTTGTAGGCAGGAAGAACATGGCACTGATTCCCTCTGTCAGTGGCAACTGGGCAATCTGCAAGGCCAGAAATAGAAATCAGAAAGGGTCACATCAGTAATAAACAGTTTTACCCATGCTTTACCAGGCAGAGACGTGAATCTCAGCCTGGAATCATCCTTTCCAATTAACATTTGATCTTCTCCCCTGTTTTATTTTATCTCATGATGCTTCCTGACCTCTCTGGTCTTCCCTAGGAGTTCATCCACCTATGCTGCACTCTTCCCACTATTACATGGCAAATGCTCTCTCACCTGTTGAATCCTGCAATAACCTGCAGTGTTGTTTTTGGGGGTTCTCAGCTGAAACACCTCTGAGCTCATGCTACAGTGAAAGATTGATTGAAAGAGGTAGAGATGGACAAGTTTTGTGGCATATGCTCAGCCCTTCTTTCCCAACTTCAAGTCAATCAATACAGCTGTTAGGACCTGGGCATTACTTAAATTCTGGACTGCTTGCCACATAGCCAGTGTAGAAGGATAATCTAAGAATCAACATACTGCCTTTCAAAATAGGGGTTGCAAAACTAGCCTGAAGGGAGGAGCAAGGTTATCTTCTGGAATGGGTTAAGACGTAGGTGTAGCTGAACCTGTTCCTCAGTAGATTTAGGAGATCTTATGCAATATTTGTTCTCTGACCTTGCAGTTGAGTTCTGAGTCAAAACCATATCGCAGTATGGCTTTAGGGTCCGACATCATGGGCACCTTCACAGTTCTGCCCTCATCCAGATAGAAGTCCTTCAGCATCGTCTTCTTGGCATCAAACTTGGTTTTCCATGTCCCTGTTTTTTAAAAGATGAAATGGAGGATTTTCTGGAAGAATAGTATATGAAACCAGGCTTATGCCTGTGGCTGAATAATCTTGTGGGTTAATATATAATATTTGTGCTTTCAGAGTTGAGGCATAAGAGGGATAGAAATAGACTGATTTGAGCTACTGATTTACTGCCATCTCTGGCCCCTCCTTCTCAGCTGAGAATTGGCTAAATGGCAAATAAATAATCAAGCCAGAGTATGGGTGGAGTAGCTATTGGGAAGTTGATGTCTACTTATGTAATTACAAAACTATTTTAAATGGTAACAATTGTGTCAATGCATGTAAAGTGCTTCTCTCCCCACCCTTTATTTTGCTCCTTGTCTCCAAGCAATAATTCTCCAGGACAGTGGTTTACAGCATGTTCTAGAACAGCTCTCGAGTATCTCTCCATTCCCTCTACAGTGGTAAAAAGGCTCAGAACACTCTAAGCTGTGCCTTCCCTAAATGGTAATATTCCATCTCAGAACAGAGTTCTGTGAGCTAAAACTTTCTTTACTGGGCTCTTTCTACAAACAGATCAAGATTCATCTTCTCAAGAGTAATAATTCCTCCCTCAGGACTATTTCTGTTCAGGTAGTTTGTGTCTTTTTCTTGTTTACTAAACATTCTCAAACACTTTCTTCTCACACTCAGTCTCTTTGGCAGTCTGTTTGCTTTATTGGAAGTGAGAGCATTCCTTCCCATCTCTCCTAACAACACATGCTTAATGGACTCTCTGCAGCCAAGTACACAGCATTCTTACCCTTAAAGAAAGCAGCCCCAGCAAGGAGAATACTGACATCCATGGGCATGTCCTTCATGAACCTCATAATCCTTCCCTTTGTCTGCTGTCGGACCCAGTTGTTGATTTCTTGCAGGTCTAACTGGGTATTGCCACTTAGTGCCCTCAGGCGCATCTTGTAGGACTTCTCTAGTTGGCTGTGAAATCCAGGCCTTGCCCTCAGTCCTGGGGAACAAAAACATGGATATTGCAGCTAGCTGCCTTATCAAAACAATCTCAAGGCAGCAGATTGCTATCCAAACCCAGCAGCAGGTCTCACATAAACATCTGTGGCTGTGTGTACACAAAAACCTGCTTTGAAGAAGAATGACTGAAGGCCCATGGAGGAAACTGATCCAAATCCTACAGCCATCCATGCTGGAGAGTGGGATAACTCTCTTCTGAAAAGTAGAAAAATAGATAAGCACTGAAGGCTTGGACACAGCTATTCCTATATCAACCTTTCTTCTTTCTCTAGCCTGCCTTGAGTACAGCTTACTCAGCCTATTGGATTCTTGGAACCAGCAGGTTCCAAAAGATACCTCGTAGCTTTCTTAGCAGATGTTTATTGCATGCCAAAAACAGGTGGGATAACTCTCTTCTGAAAAGTAGAAAAATAGATAAGCACTGAAGGCTTGGACACAGCTATTCCTATATCAACCTTTCTTCTTTCTCTAGCCTGCCTTGAGTACAGCTTACTCAGCCTATTGGATTCTTGGAACCAGCAGGTTCCAAAAGATACCTCGTAGCTTTCTTAGCAGATGTTTATTGCATGCCAAAAACAGACATATAGTTCTGTTCTGCAAGGAATTACATTTCAAATAGTTCTGCAAGGAATTAAACAAAGGAATATGGCTGAATGTTATCACAAATAGAAAATGTGATCTGTGGTTCCTGGAAGCTAGAAACACCTGCCAGATAGCCTGGAGTGCAGGCAAAATTCTCAGCAAGTTTCTTGTGGGTCTTCTGTGTATTAACTGCTCTGTCACCAGTGGCTTTGTGTGCACGTCTGGTCTATTATTTATGTGCACACAAACTTTCCAGGCTTTTTCTGGAGCAGCAAGAGCATTCCATGCACTGTCTGCCTCCTGGCTCAACGGGATGTCAGAGCCGAGCTCTTAGTGTGGTGTTATTCAGTATGTTCTACCTGCAGCTTGTTATTGAGGTAAACTTTGATAGAGGGGATGAAAGACTTTTACTTTTCTCCAAGACGATCCGGGAGGCACTTTTCATGCTTTTCTCAGGTCCAGTCACACGGCTCAGTAGGTCCTTGTAAGTGTCATGGACCTCAGCCTTGTTGAGTAGGTCATAGAAGAGAGCACGAGAAATCACATTTTCAGTTCGTTCTCCAGCCCCTGCCAACAGCAAAGACAGCATGAGGGAAGGTCTTTCAGGCCAAATGGTGTGTGAGGAAATGGGGCAAGAACTCACCAAGTGAGAGACCAGAAAGTGCAGTAGCCAGGCTGAATGGAGACAGCAGCACGTTGGCGGTGGCTGTCCGGCTGGACTGCTGGCGGTACAGGTCGTAGCCAAAGTTGGAGACTGCAGCTGCCAGCTTGTTCACAGGGCTCTTGTAGAATGGATCTTCCTCTTCCTCACCAGCATTGGCTCCATCAGCAGTGGCAGAGTTCTGGCAGGTACAGGGAGTGCTTTGGTTAGACTTGTAAGGGCAAGTGCAGTGGTGATAAACATTTCAAAGGCAAACAGTCCACAGATTGATCTACTGAAATATTGGGTTAACCTTATAGAGAGTGTAGGAACAGTTTCTTCAAGGTGTCCCAGCAAAGCCAAAGGCAGCACTGAGTTTGGAATCCACTATTTCTGCCCCATGGTCATCCCCTGATGTAACTACTGTGGTTTTATCTAGGTAAAGCAGGAGTTAGTCTCATTATGTTGCTAAATAAAATCCTAGTAACTTAGGAGGGTAGTGCTTAATCCTTTGGTAGGATT